AATCTCCCCGTTTCCTTCGGCAAGATGCTGTTGTACCTCTTCGCGCAAACGATCTTGTATATCTCGGTTAACTGCCAGCTCGTGAGCAACGAAACACATCAGCGCCGCAGATGTTTCGAAACCAGCGAAGAAAAAGATAAAGGCTTGCGAAACGATGTCATCTAATGTCATCTTATATACACCGGCACCTTCTTTGTCCCGAGCCTGCATTAATAAATGAATCATGTCCGGTCTAACGATACCTTGCTCTTCTCGCGCTCTAATGGTTTCCCCCACGATCTTCTTGAAAAACTCGCTGGTAGCCGGAAAAAGAGACAGGCCTATTAATTTAGCGAACCGTGGACACACTTGGAAAAGGATCATCTTAGCCATCGCTAGCGGTCCGGGAGAAAATCCCTTGGTAATCTCTATTCCTCTTGTATAGAACTCATTGTCTGGATCTTTCATAGAATTCACACTTATGCCAAAGGCTGTCGTAGCAATTACGTCGGTGGCGTATCGTCTAAAGACCCCCTTCGTTTCGATCGCATGGCAGACTTCCGGATGATCGACCAAATAATTAACGAAATTGTGAGAACATTCCGACATCAGGTCAAACATGATCTTCATCTTGCTGGCTGTAAAAGAGGGGCTTAATGTATTCCTCATTTCTCTCCAACGATCTCCGCGCAAGGCGAAGATGTTCTTGCCAAATAGCGGTTCCGCACTGACGTCGACGAAACTGCGATGATCCGGGAAGGATTCAAAATCCTTTACCATGATATCTTTGATCAGATCAGGATCGCGCAGTAGCACGGCAGGCCTGCTAAATTCCATTAGTCCAACATATTTTGCGTCCGGAAAGTAATTGTATAGATATTGAAAATGATCGACAAAACTGACATGACCCAGAAACAATTTCCAAACCGTTATGAAAGATGAATCTGGCAGGTAAGGTACATCCTTATTTTTCCAGTAAAAATATGAATGATGCACTACAGCGACAATTTTCAGGACGCCGATGACGACCAGAGTTATTAATAATAGCGCAAAGGGCGACGAAAGCCACGATAAATCCATCATGACACGACAGTATAAAAGACAAACTGACTGTGAGACAAACAAGATACTTCGTCGAGCGCGGCGCAGTGTTAATTGATTGCGTAACGCAAGCGGTTCCAGACGATTAGTAGCGTATATTTCTTACTGAAATATAGGTATCGTCAGACCCATTATAAGAAGAGAATAATATATGTTAAAGAAGATAGCCTCTGGAGGTTTTTAGAAATTAAATAATATAGTTTATGCGTTTGCAGTCGTCTCTATTACATGCATGAATATAACATTCGTTGCAACCGTTATAACTTCTTTCCACGCAAATGTAGCTTAGGAAGCGCCTTATGCGAAACAATCTACATACGAGCATGTAAAATAATCACGTGTTGACCACTGCACGCTACTACGCATGTGCCAGAAATCCCGCAATCTTACAATACTGGCGCGGCGTTATAAATACATGTTGCGCAGATCTTATCGTGAATGAAACGAGGGTGAAACGCCTTTCGATATTATTGTGATTAGAGACCTTCAAGTAAGAGACTGGTCATTGATCTACTGTGTGCTGATTGATATTGGCAAACCATGGTAGATGCAGCAATCCAAAATATAAAAACATGATTTTTAGGGTAAATTCTAAGAGAAAATTTTTTCTGCGTATCTATAAAAGAAAAGATGTATGTTTTCTCTCAGATACGTTTCTTTCAACGCTAGAAACGAGCCACATGTTAGCAATGAACATTTAAATGTTGAATAAACATTTAAAAATGTAAAGCATAATGCGGAGCATTACTTAATTATTTAAAACTCTTTTGCATGTGTATCAGATCCTCCAGATGATGAATTCATAGATTGAGCGCTCTACCATTTCGGACGAAGTGTGTGTCTTAAGGTACTCCTAACACTTTGCTCATACCAACACCCGCAGTAATAACTATTCCTCTTGTGCTTTTTTATAAATATATTTTTATGTGAATTATCGGATGGAGAAAGTTCATAATATAGAATTAAGAAACATTCTTCTTATTACATTTTGGTAGAGAAGTATTAGCGTCCAACATAATATTAAATATAATAAATATAGGTGAATTCGACTGAAAAGATTGTCATATGAACCAAGAGACCAAGTTAGCAAAGAAGATTAGAAAATAATTTGCATTATTTGACATGTATATTTGAAAATATCGATATCATTCATGCCTTATAAACGTTACATGCATACAATAGTATATATATATATATATATATATATATATATATATATATATGAAATATTATAATTAAAATTGTATAATTTACTTTTGATTTTAATTTTTATATACGTTTAATGTCTAAAAAATGTACATAGTTCAAATATACATAGAATTATGGTGTCATGGCACAGAATTATGGCAGAAAAATAAAATGTATATTAATATTACAAATTATCCTAATTTACTATGTGCCTGGGTACCTAAAAATCCGTAATTATTTGGAGTTGTCAACGGATATAATCCACATTGTTTTATTTGAACTGCGATGCCGAGCAAATAATCGTAACATTTCGTCCTATAAAAAGAAAAAGACATTTAAGACAAGGATCGTTAAATAAATTTTATTGTGACATGAGATAGTAAAGACATAATTTTTGCCTGCTGCCAAGAATTACCTCACACATAAATCCCATGTCTGCATACCAATACTGCGCAAGTCTCAGTAGGGTAATCAACGATAATTTTAATTGTCTAAATCGTCCTTCAAATTCTTCTCAAAAGGAGTGCTTTCTGTGTTTGATATTACCAGCTCCTCGTCGTAACAATACACTTTCTACTCTCTGTTTGATTCTACGTAAATCAAACAGTTTTATGTCATTATATCAATTTGAAATTAACTGTCAATGGACTTAAAAATACGATTTAAATGTATAACTTTTATCACCTAAAAATGAGTGATCCTGACTTCTTTCCCAGGCCACAGTGTTGTCATCACAGCAATAAATTTCGAATGGGTGTAAATTATACAGCACCCGCGTTTCTTCTTAAATAGGCGCACATAAATAGCGAAGTACATTGCAACTTCGTCAGTTTTTTTTTGGAGACAATTCGAAATCTGTTTCATTGATATCTTGTACGAACATATCGTTGGGCGTTATACTCTCCTTTTGTACATCAGAAGGAGCTATGCAGATCTTATCTGTGTAGGACAGAAATTTTAGTGAATGTCTATACTTTAATAATAGTTTTGCACATATGACAATCAAGCAATCAAGCTTTTAATACAAGTGTATTACTGTAGAATATTAACTCATGTATTTTATGGAGATACCGCCACCAGTACCAGTCACCCATCCGAGATGATAGAACTACCGACACAGTTCTGGAATATGATTTCTTGGGTGTTCCTGTATAAAAATGATAGATATTATAAAACAAATTCTATACATGCATAAATTTTAAAACTAAAACTTTGTAAAACCTGATTTCAACGTCCATTAATATATGCACGCATATGTATAAATAGTTTGATAACTTATAATTTAACATTTACATATGCGCCAAAAAATTATATATACGTGACTTTATAAATATATAAATAAACAAAATTTATGTTGCATTGGTATTAACAATTATAGGATTTGAAACGTGAAGTATCAACTAAACGATTATCCAAATTTAATTTTATAAATATTAATATACATGTTCTCAAATAATATTATTGATATATTAATGTATTAGATATATATTAATATCATTACATATTAAATTAGAGTTTTTATAAATAATTAATGTAAGAATTGATTGGAAGTTAGCGTTTTATATGTAAGTTTGCTTTTATTTTTTAAATATTTATTTTAATTATTTATTTATTCAGAAGAAAAAAAGGAAAGTTGCGGAGCAATTAAAATTGGAACTAACCGGCAAAAAAAAGTAAAATTCACTTACCAAATCAAGTCCAAAGAACACGAGATTGAAACTGATGAAGCCTTAGGTAAAATATCGGAAACTGAGTTTTCGCAATGCTTTTTTTTTCAAAGATTTTTTATTTTCTCTTGCTTTGGTGCTGGAGGACCAATGTCTTCTCTCTGCTTTACTTTACTCTCGCTCATCCTAACTAACGCTGTTTCTCGGTAGGAATAGATAACCTGTGAAAAACATCACCCTTATTTTAAGCTCCAGCATTAGTAGCAGGGTCCTGGAGAGGTTCTGGAATTTTTTAGTGGGATGTACATGTGCGCTTGCCCCATCTTTTCCCCAAAACTTTGAAAAAACTCAGCCTGCCAGACTTCAGCTGCTCTTTTAGTTTTTCCAAAGTTTTGTTTTTCAAACAATATCTAGTAATAAAACATTTTTGTGAGAGATTTTTATAATAGAAGTTGTTATCTCTGTTTCAATTCTGTTTTTCAGAAGGGGAAAAGACTTTAGCTTTCTTGTGAAGAAAAATTTACGCCCCAATAAAATATTTTTATAAAATGTATAATTATATTTATTCTTCTGTATATATATTACAAAAGATATATACATATATATAGATATACATGTAACAGTCACCATTAATAAAAATAGACTAGTGGAAATATTATAAATATGAATAACAATCAGAGAATGAAATGGAGCAAAACTTGGCCACAAACTATCTGACATAAAACACCCAAAACTTGCAACGAGAGGATAAATTGCATTTATTTATGAAGGTGGATTTCAAGATCCAAAACATTGTTGCAATGAGTAGCTTTAATTTATCTTATTTTCATTATCTTATTATTCTCGCATGATATCATTCTCGATAACAATATAACAAAACAACATTATATTTAATCTTATCAATACTCTTATCAACATTAAAAAGATATTTCTCAGAAATATCGCAATTAATAACAAATTCTTATTTGTAAACGTTTGTGTATAGGTAATTGATTTAATTTAATGATTATCTGCGCATTTTGCATTACCTATAAATGTAATGGATTGTTTTCCTTATTTTTTTTATATATACTATCTATTCTCAGACAATGAATCATGTCTGATTCACAATCATATCTGATTAACAATCTTTGATCCAAATGTGTCATACATACGCTGTAAAAAATGTTAAATGCTTTGTCAGTTTATTATAATTTGATTGTTTATATTTTATATTGCTATAATAAAATAGTGACATTTGGTTTTATTAAAAATTTAAAAATTTTATTTATAAAAAAATATTAAAAAACATTATAAATGCACATACAGAATGGTATATTATTACATCATGGTACATCGACTCTATTAATGATATTGTTTCGTCATACTTATTTAAAAAATTATAACAGCGAACGCTTAAATTTATAATAAGTTACAACAGACATAATTTGAACTAATAAAAAATTTCGAAAGAAAAATGTGCGAAACATCTTTGCACGATAGAGATAATCGTTCTTACATGAAGAATTAACGAATTGATCCTATTTATATTTAGCGACAAGTGGGGAAGTTATATAAATCATTAAAAACAATCGGCATAATCAAATAAACGTGGAAGTCTACGCAAGTCATGATGTTTATCGTAATATTTAATTTTTTTATTTCTCACCAGGAAAAACTTGGTTATTTGCTTCGAACATAATGACGCAATACATCGGAAATTTTATTGTTTGCGATATATTACGTCATTCTTCACACTTCAATCTTAACACTTCAATCTTTACACTCCAATCTTCACACGTCAATCATCTTCTAAAGTACATACACGCGTTGAATATCTTAAAAATTGAAAATGCGGCGATGTTTTTCCAAACACAACTACATCATACGATAATGTATTGAGTGCAAGACTTTCACGTTTCTCTTTTCTCCAATCTAATCCAGAATCCACCAACAGGTTCCAACGCAAACAACTTTTTAGTGTATACGATTGGTTCGACAGTCTTTTCCGTAGTCTTCAGAGTGAACTTTTGTAAAAGATGAGCTATTAGAATCTTAGTCTCCATGAGAGCAAATCGATTGCCGATACATTGTCTAGGTCCGTGACCGAATGGTAGATAAGTGTACGGTAAAATTTTGTCTTTGTTCTCCTTGCTGAACCTTTCGGGATCGAATTTATCCGGGTTCGGAAAGTACTTCGGATCGTGATGTAAACCGTGAATGGGAAACATCAATAAATTGTTGGGTTCGATGATCACATTCTTGCAGCCTGGTCGCGACGGAGCTAATTCATATCTCTTGACCGAAAGTCGATCGGTAATAATCGCCGGTGGATACTTTCTGAGAGTCTCGGAGATCACCATATCCATGTAAGACATCTTCGACAGCGACTCGTAAGAAATCTCACCATTTCCTTCGGCAAGATGCTGTTGTACCTCTTCGCGTAAACGATCTTGCACATCTTGATTAACTGCCAGCTCGTGAGCAGCGAAACACATCAGTGTCGCAGATGTTTCGAAACCAGCGAAGAAAAAGATAAAGGCTTGCGAAACGATGTCATCCAATGTCATTTTATGTACACTGGGACCTTCTTTGTCCCGAGCCTGCATTAATAAATGAATCATGTCCGGTCTGACGATACCTTGCTCTTCCCGTGCTCGAATGGTTTCCCCTACGATCTTCTTGAAAAACTCGCTAGTAGCCGGCGGGAAAAGAGACAGACCTATTAATTTAGCGAACCGTGGACACGCGCGAAATAACATCATCTTAGCTATCGTTAGCAGTCCAGAAGAAAATTTGGTAGCTTCTATTCCTCTTGCATAGAACTCATTGTTTTGATCTTTCATAGAATTCACACTTATGCCAAAGGCTGTCGTAGCAATTACGTCGGTAGTGTATCGTCGAAAGGCCCCCTTCGTTTCGACCGCATGACAGACTTCCGGATGATCGACCAAATAATTAACGAAATTGTGAGAACATTCTGAAATCAGGTCAAACATAAACTTCATCTTGCTGGCGGTGAAAGAGGGGCTTAATGTATTCCTCATTTCTCTCCAACGATCTCCGCGCAAGGCGAAGATGTTCTTGCCAAATAGCGGTTCCGCGCTGACGTCGACGAAACTGCGATGATCCGGGAAGGATTCAAAATCCTTTACCATGATGTCTTTGATCAACTCAGGATCCCGCACTAGCACGCCAGGCGTGCCGAAATCCATTATTCCAACATATTTTGCGTCCGGAAAGTAATTGTAGACATATTGAAAATGATCGACAAAACTGATGCGACTCAGAATCAATTTCCAACCCGACATAAAAGATGATAGCGAATCTGGCATGTAAGGTACACCTTTATCCTTCCAGTAAAAATATGTACGATGCACCGCAGCGACAATTTTCAGGACGCCAATGACGACCAGAGTAATCAATAATAGCGCAAAGGGCGACGAAAGCCACGATAAATCCATCGTGACACGACAGTATAACAGACAAACTGATTGTGAGACAAACGAGATACTTCGTCGGGCGCGGCGCAGTTTGAGAGATTACGGGATTTCTGACGCATGCGTAGTAACGCGAACCGTTTCAGATAATTAGTAGCGTACAATTCTCACCGAAATACAGGTATCGAATCTTTTATAAGAAGAAAATAATATGTGTTAAAGAAAATAGTCTCTAGACGTTCTTAGAAATTAAATAATATATAAATTTATGCATGCGTTTGCAGTCGACTTTATTACATATAGGTACCAACATTCGTGTTGCAACCGCGTTGTAACTTCTTTCCATGCAAGTGTAGCCCAGAAAACGCCTTATGCAAAACAATCTACATACGAGCATGTAAAGTAATCACGTGTTGACCACTGCGCGCTAATACGCTTGCGCCAGAAATCCCGCAATCTCTCTGGCGCGGCATTATCAATACGTTGCGTAGATCTTACCGTGAATCAAACGAAAATGGGAGGGAGAAACGCCTCTCGACATTATTGCGATGATACATATGTCGCATCATAATTGCACAAGATATTAGTCAGTCAGTTTAAATGCGCATGACATTTGTCGAATACATCCCGACATTTTGCTCGGAAAGAAAGAGAAACTAAATTGTGTGTGAGAAGGAAAGAAGCGGAAGGAACGACGTGCAATTATATAGATATGTCACTTGTGCTATATATGTATTAGTCAGAATTAGTCAGAAGTTCCGAATTGCCGCGTAAGTATATATATAAAGCAAGAGACAGTACATTCGGTGACAATTATCAAATAATATATCGAAATGGACAAAAAGTTCTATACACGGAGAAATTTTTCGTTATATTTTACTGTCAAAATTTACTACTTTGAGGAAACAATATATAATTTTTGTTTATTCACGTTTCTCTCTTCTCCAAGCTAATCCAGAATCCGCCAACAGGTTGCAATGAAAACTCCTTTTTATTATATACAATTGGTTCGACAGTTTTTTTCGTAGTCTTTAGAGTGAACTTTTGTAAAAGATGAGCTATCAGAATCTTAGTCTCCATAAGAACAAATCGATT